GAGACCGGCACGGCGACCTGCGCAGTAGCGCGCCGCCGCTCGCCGCCGCTCACCGCCGCGCGGCATTACCGTTCGAGCCGCCGGCACGTACGCCACGGGGCAACTGCCTGATCGTTTTACGCGTGATTGAAGGACGCCACGGCCGCGCAATCGAGCTCGTCAACTTTCTAAATACTGCAGGACCTTGTTCTTAATTGTTTTACGGAGCGCGAGATACGGGAAGCGGACCGTCGAATCGCCGCCTATTGTTCTCGCCTGCCTGCGATGTATGTACATACATCGAGTGAGTAAAGAAGAGCCGCGAACGCGTCGAGCAGTGGTAAACGCGTGGACTTTACGCGTGAATTTATGCGTTTATTCGTGATACGCGAGAGAAATCGAAACGACGGAATCCCGTCGTCGTCGATTTGATTCGAATAGTGTCGTCGCTCGTGTAGCGTCGCCGTGGCCGCTGCGTGCCGGTCGGTCAGTCAGTTCGAGAATGTTCCGCGCGTCGCATTACACCTTTCGTGCCGTCGACGCGAGTGTTACCGACGACGTGCACGAACATTTCCCGCGCGATCGAGCTTGTCGAGTTCGTAGATACTGCAGGACACTGTTCTTCGTTTCAAGGAGCGCAAGAAACGGAAAGCGGACCGTACGTCGAATAATATCGTCGCGTTTGTTCGCCCCTGCCTGTGATGTACATCGAGTGAGTAAAGAAGAGCCGTGAACGCGTCGAGCAGTGGTCAATGCGTGGTCTTTGCGTGTGAATTTACGCGTTTGTTCGTGATACGGTACGCAAGAGAAATCGAAGTGACGGAATCCCGGCGTCGACTTGATCCGTGTAGCGCCGCCGCGACCGTTGCGTGCTGGTCGGTCAGTCAGTTCGAGAATGTTCCGCGCGTCGCATACTTTTTTTTTCCCCCTGTACGGTGACGCCGTCAACCGTTAGGTTATTTGGGGGTCGATTGCTCGTCAACGTGCGTATTTTCCGTGAAATACGTGAGACATACATATGTGTGCACGTGATAATGCAGTGATCTAACTGAACTCTCGTAGTACCGAGCGGTGCTGGGAAACGGCGTCATGTTGTCTCGTCCATTAGCGGAGCGGCGCGGACACGCAGCGAACGGATCCCGCGCTCGATGGTCATTGCCGATGCGTTTCGCGACGACACGCGCGATCGCGGTGAGTTTAACGATCGAATTTAACAATCGCGCGGCATTAGTTCGGCGCTCGTGCCTTGACGATTCACGGAGACGCGTATATCTCGCGGGAAAATCCTCCGGCCAGGATCTTTTGCGCAGTCGGCCGCGCCATCGTATCTTCGTGCGCCGCAAGAATATCAAGCTCCAGGTTTAATTTCGTATCGCCGCGAGCGCGCAGCTACATCCGAGTCTTCTCGCGGAACGGCGAAAGAAACATTTGCGCGAGATCGCTCGGTTAACGCCCGCGTTCAGTCCCTTCTCTCGCGAGACGGACGACGCGTGAAATTGGTGCGTGTCTTCGAGTTCGAGCCGAAACGTTCCCGCCATTTCGCGCGACGCCATCGATGTCGAGCGGCTCGTCTTTTCGTGTACGAAAGTGTGGCACGTTACTCGGGTAATTGGTGCGCGCGATCGTAATTAGCTTCTCTGTCGCGAGTGTTGTGTGAGTTTTGTGACGACGCAAACTGATGGCACCTGAGAGGAAGCGCCGGCCTGGGAGGCATCGGGCAACGGCGGAGCAACCCTGTGGTGAGTATCGTTATTTAACTTCGTTTCAGATTAATTCATTTTCCTTTCCTTTTACTCGAATCGCCGGTTTGAACGATTTGCCCCGAACACTCGCTGAATGATTTGTATACGATAAAAAAAGAAAATCTTTGTGATTTTCTACGAAAGCTTACGCTCGCGGAAGATTTCTCCGCGGAAGTTATATAATTTTTTATTCGCGGCACCTTAAAGATGAACAGCATATTCGTTTAATTCGTGTAGAATTATTAGATCTTTTAAAAGTGTTAATTGCGTTATTCGAATATGCTAATTTAGATTTTGCATTTGTGTGTTGCAGGTCAACGTAGCGTCGTAACTCCGCTGCTGCGCATCGTATCGGTGAGTGTGAAATAAACGCTTATTTTTTAAATCGAGGAAATGAATCCGTGAGAACTGTAGAATTTTCAGAAAACAGACAAGAGAGTCTTTGACAATTTATTTGCGGCATATAATGTTTATTGCAGTAAAATAAATATTATGTGCCAGAAATAAATTTTAAAAAACCTTTGGCTCAGTGTGGCAGGAAAATACACTATTCGTTTTATTAATAATATCTTTTAATAATAAAACAAATGGTGTATTTCTCCAGTTGTAGACATTGTCTTGTCCATTCCCTATGAAACGTTAAGAATGTACATTATATAAAATATCAGGATTCATTGCCTTAAGATGGATGGGCTGGAATAAAGTAGATATTTAATTTTCAAGAGAATACATTTATTTATCGACTTATGCGTGCGAGAACCATTTTCGCATGAAAGATATGTTACTTATAAGTCGGGTGGGAATCATCCTTACTCTTCTTGTCGAAAACTTCGTCATCTTATGCACGGATTTTCAAGTAATTAAGAATTACCATAAAGATACAAAATATTAATAATTTGGACAATTGTAGTGTAGAGTACGATCGTAGTTTCAAAGTTTAGTATAGCTTCTCATATTTCTTCAGAGATGCTTATTTGCCATTTAATACAGATTACGTTTCACAATTCATTTAATCAGACATTAATTTTTAACATTTTAAAATTATGCAAGTGGCCAAAATATGAGGTTGAACAAATATCTCATTGCGAAAGCGAACAACTTCTTACATAGATTTCATATAAATTATCAGTCTTATTTTCACGTCGTTTAACTTTGATCTTACAATTAGTTTAATTCATCTAACTGTCCCCTTAGAAAGAGACACAGGATGAATTAAATTAAGACCAAAGATCTAAACGGCATTGGTGAAAACCGAAATTTAATCAGTTGTATGAGGGATACGTTAAAATATTTGAGGTGAAGCATTTTAGAAATATCTTGTAATGTTTCATTAGGAGATATCTATACATTTGAATACTCAATAGATTATGTTTTATAATGAACTTATTTAAGACATTAATTTTTAATGTTTAATGACCATGAGACATTGATGACAATTTTATTTCCCGGGAAATTTAAGTATTTCCTGCCACTATTGAAATAATATTGTTATCTCGTATGTTGCTTGAATAGGAAATGTAATTGCACCTCTCTCTCTTAAGAAAAAAAACAACACGTATACATATGCTAAATTTTCAATTTATTAATATGTATACATAATTGTTGTACTCATAAAAACAAAGTTTGAACTAGAAGAGTTTCATATTACATTACATTTCTTATATATTCTTCTGCGGCGATTACAATAAAATACAGATTGCTTATAACGTAGCCGAGGTAGTGAGCACTTTTTTTGTGTGCTACGATGCAAAGAAATGGCTGAAATACTCTATTATCGATGATTTAGCACATTTTACATCATGTGGCCTAGGTAAAATAAATTTCGCAGTACGTTGAAATGATAACTTTGTTACACACTTGTGTGTTCGCGCGTTTTAAATTATTAAGAAAAACTAACGCTATGCAATGCAAGATTGACATCATAAATCCTCCTTTGTAACAACGTTTACATTATTACGATATGGTAAAATATTTTTCCTTATCTCAGCTATAAGCTCGTTTTCATCAAGTCTTATACATTGGAAGTATTTTTAGGGTGCCAATTGAAATATTTTCCAAATTATAAAAATCCAAAGTCCATATATTTGTAAGAATACAGAAAAATATTTATCAACATTTACGTTAACAAAAGCCACAAGAGGAGGATTAAATGCATCAATTTTGCGATGAAATCTGCATATACAACGGTATTAATAGTAAAACTTATTAACTACATCAGTTATTATTTTTCGTTATTGAACTGAATGTATATTTAAACTGGTATACATATCATTCTGTACCATTACATTAATTCTTCGATACCTGTAAAAATAATCTCACTTAAACATATCCTTAGAGCTTACAATACGTATTTAAGTCTTATTTCTACTATTAAATTTTTTTAATTAAATAATCTTCGTCGATATTAACAATTTCTTAACTGAGTTATTTTCAATAATGAAGAGAACTGTCTTCCTAATTTGTTATAAAATACATATACGTAGTATTTAGTTTTAATAATGGCACAAATACTCATAAAAGTAAAATAGAATAATTAAATGTGCTCTTTATGTTTATACTAAATAATCATATTATTTACTAAATGTATAGTGAATTAATTATGAGATAACACTACAAATAATTTGCAAGTTTTAAACTGTTTCTGATTCACATAATTTTTTCTATTAATCTTTGTGCATTTAACGTTTAAACTTGTTAAATGATTTAATAGAAACACAGTATGTATTAAAAAATACTCTAAAGTAATAATTAAATATATGTTCGTAAATATATCGTAGCCTACAGTTAGCGTGTACTTAAATAAAAAGAAGGAAAGCTTGCAATTATGTGTATAATTTTTCTGAGCCACAATTATAATATAAAGTTTTATTAAAGTTACGTAATGTTTCCAATCGTAATATACTTTTTGTAATAGCTATTATAACAAAGTGTGTTATTAAAAATTAAATAACAAATTAATAAAACGTACATTCTAACAACTTCATATGAGTGTGTAATCGTTTTCATAAAAATCTAACAGACTAACAGCTCAGAATTTTGAGAACAATCTATAATATATGTATTTAAATAACCACGCACACTCATACATGCTTATACATATACCTGTGATGTTTTCATAATTGGGCCTTACAGAATTATTAAAACATACTCATCTTCTCCTACGTTCACTTGTTGATAAACTGATGTGCTCAATATTAACATTTATCCGATGGCGTTTGTTAACGCATCAAAATCCGTTCATATGTCGAGCAACGACATTAGCAGGAATTCGCGAGAAATATTCTCGAATATACATCTCAGTGTATCTGATGCAATACCGAGATAACTTCAAGTTTTTTACAAAGTATGTATGTTAAACATTAATCATTTCTGTACAAAATTAAATGCTCTCTCACGTTACAACTTTGCAAATATACCAAATTGGAATACGTGTTATAAGAATGAAATAAGCACGAAGTATTTTTCATATAATCGAAAAATAAATTCTCTTTTGGAATGTCTTCAAAAATGCTTCAACATGAAAATTACTATTTTCGTTGCAAAAAATGCTGAGTATTTTATTGTTCTATTCAGAACGGATTAGCCATATTCTAAAAATGATTACCATACAGACTTTATAACGTATACAATCTATGTGGTGACTTTATCGTTTGCCATTTTTGTCCAATAAGATAAACTTATTAGATATTTCATAGGTACGAAATCCGCGCTAACCGTTGCGTCGGTATATTCATAGTAAAACACTTGAGAAATCGTGAATAGCCGATTTTCATCACACAGATAAAATATATTACAAATCTATTACAAACTGAATATGAATTAAAACTATAGTACAAATAATTTTTCGCGATAATCGTAAGCATCGAATACATTTCAGTGATTTCAGTGATAAGAAATTAAAAAAAAACGTTCTGCAACACATTATTCGCATTAATATGCTCATCAAATAATATGCTAATTGTTGGGATCTGGATATTATTCTTTATGAAATGTCGTAAATCTATTAATTGCATCATTAGACTTCGCGTTTTTGGAACTATATGTACAAAGATTTATTTTCTATACCATATACATTCACGATATCCACCCAAGATTCGTAACAATTGACAATCCTTGATAAATTGGTTTGCCATGTTCTTAAATCACTTTAGTTTTCACATTTATTCGTATATTGTTCGATATGACTCACGTACGTATATTCACACGAATTTTCGTACACACGTTCATCAGGAATGTTATGGATTTGTTAACAACGCGGTTAATAATCCAGAATTAAAAATTGAGCTCGTTGCAACCTTAATGGAATGTAAAGTCCATCTTTCTTTTTCATTAATATCAAAGCTTGAACACTTATGACGTCTAAAAAAGTTCGCTATACTTTACTGGCAGAATTGAACTGTAACGTGTCGCAAACTGTAAATAGAGCACATACACATGTGATACAGACACACTTCTACTTTTTCTACGCACCGTTACTTGCGTCGTCATATCGTGCAAAATATATGTTTACACTATCATTTATCAGCAATGTATAGCGTTTCTTTATTAGACTTAATTTCTACAACTAATTTACGTCATAAAGTCCTATATTATTTTTATATCGGCAATGGTTGCAAGTCCGTGTGTACACACATTAGTCAAATAAGAACAATTTTCTATTAGCTACAGTATAATTATTCATCGTCTGAAATTGAGCGATGACCGAGATTATTCATCTTTACTTAACGCACAGAAAATAATGGCCAAAATATATTATGCGTCAGAATATGCCATTAATCGTAAAGAAATATATATAATAATAAAATTAACAAGTCTAGTAGATACACGACCTAGATTAATGAAGTATATGCAATATGAAATTGGCACCTAAAAAATGCCTCGTCACGTTATCACCACGGATCATTAAATCCAAATAGAATGCATACATTTATCGCGCGTATTTAACATATATAAAGTCAATCGGTAATTCCTTTGTCCCTTTAAATCATTTGGCCAACACTTTCTCATGTAGATAACGAGTCTATTTACGATTGTCACCTCGGCCATTATTCATTATGTTTCCGAATAACAAAAACTAGAATAGAAATAGTATCGCGAAAAATAGAATATTTTCAAACCACATTGAAAATATCGCTGTCGAAACGTGATACATACGATAAATAATATCTATGTATCTAGATTTAGATAATGTTAAACCATTCGCTAAAGAAGATAGTTTATCATCTAACGACCAAGGGTAAGATTGCAATAATAAGCGTTGATATACTTAGGCTAAAACTATCTGCGGACGCACAGTGAAGATAGTCTTTGTGATAATATATGGAAGGTGGATGTTCGTCCCCTGGCTTACACCACTCGTCGCGTGCTTTAAATTCCGCCTAGAAAAAAATTCGGTTATCAAAAATCACGTGCTGGATGTGTATCGCAGTCCGTACGCGTTGCAATAAGATACGTCTGCTCGTACCTGACAAATATCTCGGCAGGGTGGACAGATTAGAGCGCCTTTGTGCAACCAACCATTCTGCATAATTCTTATAATAATCTCCTGTCCAGCGTGATAACACGTATACGTATAATTTCCGACCTGGGGAAACGGATGAAGGTGCCTCTTAACTTGTTCGTATTTAGTTGCATTACGAGAATTCTTATAGACATTCGGGCGACGTAGCACGTCGCGAGAAACTCACCATAATGTGTAGTCTCCCGGTCTCGCACTTGTACAAGTAACAACCAGAGCCCCAATGTTGCCACTGACGCGCTTGTTTGCAAGTTCTCTCTTCCCACATATCATTTGTGTGGTCGAAACACCTCGAGTGAGGACCGTACTTCTCTAACGCGAAATTCTTGTCCGGGTCTAAAAGAAAGATGTATTTCAAGCGAACTTCCGGTTATTTTTACGGGACGCACGCGCGAGGTGTGTACGTGGACCACAGACTTGTATATTGCTGGACTGCTACCTTCGAGATGAAAAGTGAGGCAAGAGTTCGGCCATGTCTTGTTAAGCAAATAAAGTAGTAAAGGAAAATCTTCTATTATGAGATAGACTTCTAATATGAGATAGCAGTTTTCAACATCAAAATTTAATCTTTATTCACAACGATTACACGATCTAACAATGAATTTTCCACTAAACAGATTGCTTATTAATTTAGCACAAAAATCTTGCTATCTCATATTAGAGGCTTATCTCATAATAGGAGATTTTCCTCTATATGCATAGATCTGTCAGTGACACACCGATGCGCACATACTACTTTATTTACCTAACAAGACATGGCGGAACTCTTGCGTCACTTTTCATCTCGAAGGTAGCAGTCTAGTAGTACATACAAGTCGGTGGTGTGGACTTACGCGGATTATTCTCCTCGTAAAGACAGTGAGAGCCCCTGACTACTATATTCCGCGCTCTCCACGTGAATTCCTGTATGTAAGGACAGTAATCTGCCAGAGACACCGAACCGCCGTAGTATTGTTCCTCTCCCGATGGTACGTGGGGAATTGAATCGAAGTTCTGCAACGGAAGAAATCGTCAACTGAGATTCTTCACGTGCCGCGAATACTCTCACGCTGTCGATGTAACATCGTCTACGTAGACGTTCCGTTTGCACGAGGTATCTAGTCGAAAATATTCCAATAGATTGAAGGGTATTTCTTACCTGGTATTTCTTGGGTAGCGGTTGCGAATGTTTCACCAGGTTACACAAGGCCACTGAACTCCGATCATCCGTACACTCGGTCTGCAAGGGATCCTGTTTCACTTTGTTGCAAAAAGGGTGTATCGACTTCCCTCTGAAATATTTAAATTCTCATATAGTCATTGCTATATATATACGGTTCACCGTTGTTGAATATCTCGGTGTACTCACGACAACGGGGATGATTTAGTGGATATCCATTCCTTGCAGGATTTCATGGCGAAATTGCATCCCAGATTTTTCCCCCAGCCTAGCTCTTGCGCCATTGAATAGTTGGCGCTGTACCAACCGGTATCTTCCATAAGAGCGAGCGTTATCCTCGAGTAAACTGGATTTTGCGTGTGCGTCCCCGTCATGGCTTCGTTCTGAATAAACGGAAAAACCAATCTATGATGGCAAACGTTGTTCAAATTTTTTACTGAAAAATTTACCCGCGAAAGAACGCCTGATTTTACGCAGAAAAAATACACCATACTTTAGAGAATTGGCATAATTTTATTAATGATAATGCAATTTTGCTTCTTTTATAAATAATTGTGTTAAAAGACCAAAATCTATTTCATCTTACACCACTTGACACTCTCGGTCGAGTGTTTGCGTACCGCATCTGCGGCGAGATTCATCATTACGCACCTCGAATACGCGTTTCTCCCAATGCGTAAGGGCTGTGCCGTCCTCACCCTGGTCTTCCAATTCCGCGCCCTCGAGTTCCGGGCAATTGAAGTGCGCTTGAACCTCGGCGCGGACCCGAGGCGTGACTATCATTTGCATGGTCCTCTCCACGTAACCGCCGTGCACTTGCCAGCGTGGCCTAACCACGGTTCTGATCGTGTTCTCGCTCCACTGGTGCGTTTGTAACCTGGCCGAAACGAGTATCGAGCGTTATTAGCATATGCTGATTCGGTAGTCGAGAGCTACTGCCGTCGCCCAGTATAATAATCTCATCGCTATGACATCATGTATCATACGACTGCATTCGCCAATGCATCTCGCTCGCGATTGAATCGGACTTTGAATAAACTACAATCCGCGAAACAGTAAACGATAAATAATAAAACAGAATAGCAGAAACTCCTCGCCAATACTCCTTTTAGAAATTTTAACTCGCTACAAAATGGGAAAATCGCGAAATAATTCAAACTCTACATCATATACTTAGAACCACAGTCCCCAATCTGTTATCAAAATTATCGATTAGTTGTTTGGCTTCTTTTTCTATACGATGTAATAACGTACATTGTGCTTTTACACGCTTAGCGAGATTTACATTAACGAGATAATCATCGTTTGCATCATATTTATTATGTGACAATGTGTCTTCGTGACTTTGCGCACGACATAGACATGATTATTTTCAATTTCTCTCTATCTCCCTCTCTCTCATGGGCGCGTTTTCTTTCTCTTCATCTGTCTCCTGTATAAAGTGATTGATGTGATATGCCAGTGAAACGCTGTTTTCGACAACGAGCGGTCCCTCCTCTATCCGATTTCAATATGACGGATGAATTTGCGAATGGCCATTTTGCCGGGGTGCTCGCAAGCTCGGGATGAAAAATATTATTACGCTTAAGCGTCAATACACCCACGCATATACACAAAATCGCTCGGCATATCTCATGTACATAAATTGTTAGGGGCATAGAAATAGTGTATACTGTGATACAAAAATCAAACGTAACGTCGACGTGAGGGGAAAAATGCCAATTTTGTATTATAAAATAACGAACAAGATCAAAATTCGTGTTGTACACTTTATTTTTTATTTATGCGAACGCTTTGAAATCTTCTAAAAGAGCTTTTTGAAATTCGCGACAAATCGCGCGAGCTGTAAACGTATCAGCGACTCATACATTCGCGTTATTATAATAATATACGCCAATCTGTTGCAATTGAAAGTAGTGATTTCGCACTTACAACTTGTTAGATATCAAATTCGAATTATATTAATGAGAATAATTTGCATTTATATAAAATGGCTAATTAGAACGGGGATAAAAACCAATGTAAATGTGAAATTAATTAATACTAAAAGCCCAATAACGTCACTATCGATAAAAACAAATTGTACTGGACAAAGATATTGTAGTATTGGAATATTCCATGTTAAAGAGATGCAGTTGTTAAAAATTGCGAAGCTGATAGTGCTAAATTATTTGTTCCGTAAATAAATACAAATGTATCTCTATCATTTCACAAACAATTACATCTCACGCCGCCATATCGTATTATTATATAAGGTCTATATCGTATGGAAATCTAAGATTACAAAGATTCTCTCTCCCTTTCTATCCTTCTCTACGTGCATTGCTGTAGATTAATGTAAACCTTAAACATAAGAGGCTCTCCGTGGAAGATATTCAAGTACGGTAGGCTGAGAATTGATGTGCAGATAGATAACAGGAGATGCAGAGAAACACTGGAATTTCTAATAGAGAATGCACGGTCTGTGACACGGGGCGAAAATGGACGGAGAGAATAGCTAGAACTGAAATGAAAAGTAGCGAAAGACGGCGGAGGATGAAAAAAAAAGTTGATGAAATGAGATAGAAGAGAGGATAAGGAAATTTAAAAAAAAAATGAAGAGCTGCGACGAACAGGGAACGAGCGGTTATTTCCCACAAAAATTTCTGTCCCTCAATTTAAGTATTGGGACGTCGTCGAGAAAGAATCATAGAATTCTCTGGCAGAGAAAGTTCCTGAGAGTTTAAAAAGTTCTGCATACATTACCAAGTGGCTTTATAATTCTCTAATATTATGCAATGCGATGAGCGATGTTTTATTAGAGGAAGAGATAAAGAAAGAGACAGAGAATTCTATCTGCGCCGACATTCGAAACGCAAATCAACGCGATAATTCATGGGATCAGTTGAAGAAACCAGGCACACTCGGAGAAACGTGCTGAGAACATACTGGAAAATTATACGCCGGAGCAGGCGTTAGGAAAAGGCTCGTGAAGAACGCCAAAGTTATTCCTAAAATCTATTATAGTCCGGAATGCCATGGATCTCTGTTGCTGGAATTTCGCGATTCAAAGTGGAAAGACGTCGATTTTCCCCACTTGGCGGACAGACCCCGAACGAGATAGCGAATTGGAAAGAGAGTTTGGGAGAGAGGTAAGTATACGAGAGCAGCGAAAAAGTAACAGATGGAGAACGGGAAAACAGACAGAAGGGTACGTGAAGAAAGATCGTATGGGGAAAAGCTCGCATCTGCCAACGACGGAAGCCAGTTCGTTACGGTCCGTCGACTCGTATAGAACGGGATACCAGGAATTTTCCAATTTTAAAGGCAGATACACCGTCAGACAATCGTAAAGGTAGGAGAGAGAAAAATGGTTAACGCATCGCGTAGTCGAGTGATGGGATGGCGAACAAAGCAAAGTATCTGTCTCCCCCCCCCCCCTCCCTCACTGTATAGAAGCAGTGTAACAATATTAGGAAAATTAAGTGTAACAAAATTTACTTATAAAAAAATATCAGCTTATTCTCGAGAAGTAAAATGTAATATGAATATTATAATACGAATGTATTTATCAAAGAGACAAATTCTCATTACATTCTAATTAGCTGAAAATTGTATCAAGAGAAAAAGAAAAGTTATCTCGTGAAGATAATCATATTAAGCATGGCATATTACAAGAATTTGGATGATGAGTATTACTTTTTATTTATACTCACACAATATCTGCGCAACATTCTAGTTTCTGTTCGGGGAATCGTTAATATTAACTTTATACTAAATTCTGTCCGTAGAAATCTATAGAAAGATAATCGATTGCAGGTAGTGCGACATTTGTTCTAACGAGAGTATCAGGCATTTCTCAACTACATTCATTGTATTTGCAATGAAATTTTAAGTATATCCCCACATTCGAGAAATTATTCATCATATGGGCTAATTTAATTTCATACTCAGTGAACGAACTAATATAATTTGCACGTCTTTTATGCGCGGCAATAAAAGGACCTTTACGTAAGACGTACAAAAGGCAGAACGTACTTTTCATTAAGGGGTGGTTTTCCAGTATCGCTTCTTCTAGGCGTCCTGGGCTCACCATTCTCGTCTCTGTAGAAAGCGTATAAGCTCACAGAAAATCCTAAAGCGTGCAGGATCTCGTGTTTAACGGTGCTGAGCAACGTTTCCAACTCCTGTGGTTTCGTGCTGATGCTTCCCGGGCATAGGTTGGCATGACCAGCTATCGGCCTGGAAGCAATTTAGTTCGCTTCAGCAACCGCGAAATCTCCTTCCGTCTTATTTTAATTATAACGTCTTGAAATTATATTAGTTCTTCCGTTATTATTTCCTTGGAAAATACACGGGAGTGTTTCTTTAAGATGTTTGCAAGATTATATATAGATATGGGAAAATAAATTTGCATGTAGACATAAGAGCATAATTTCCGCGAAGAATATTTAGATTGAGATTAAAAGCTGTGTAACGCTATGTAATATGTTATGTAAAATATTTTTTTACACTCGAATATTCCAAGGATTTTTCCTAGTAAGCGGCAACGCAACGCACGAATATCGTCGATCTATCACGATCAGACGTCGTGCGAATAATAAAATTCGCGCAACGCCATTTACATCGACCGTGGTACGACGTGCGTGACGTATGTACTTGACAGACAAATTTAATCTACTCAATATGCGTTCACATTTCGGCGCAGTCATAAAGTTAGACGTCAAATCAGAGAACGTCAAGTTTTGCTTCTGCAATTTTCGATCATTCGGTTCTGTAAAATATTTCCTCGATTGCGAACGACTTCTTCTCATATATTCTAAATAATTTGATAATTGAGATCGGTTCTTTATGCTATCTTAATATTATATATGTCATCAATGCGATTGTGACAAATATATAGAAATAAATTAGAACGATTTAAAGTGTGTGTGAAGCTGGCGTCTCATTTCGTGGAAAATCACTAATTGTAGAGAGTTCTGACTTCCTTTCTAATAGTTCTAGAGTTCCTGATACATTAAACACATAGTTCTGGCTTTTAAGACCAAAAAATTGAAAAGTGCAAACTGATTTGCTAACGATTTGCAAACAAAGAGTTCTGGCGAAAAACATAGTTTTTATCATTTACAAAATTATCACTTTATAAATACTTATATCCCCGTGAAAAACTCTTTCTAGAACTATTGTAGAACTCTCATGCGATAAAAATCCTAGCAGAAATAATTAGGAAATCATCCGGGGACAAAGTGACTTGCAGTGTGAAGTTAGCAAATCATGCACTTTTCAATTTTTTGGTCTTAAAAGCCAGAACTATGTGTTTAATGTATCAGGAACTCTAGAACTATTAGAAAGGAAGTCAGAACTCTCTACAATTAGTGATTTTCCACGAAATGAGACGCCAGCTTCACACACACACACCGATTTAAACCGAAGATAAATTTAAATAAATGAGACGTTTGATATTTAAAAATAATTCGCTGTATAAACGAAATAAAATATGTCGCTTTAATTAAAATCATTAATATGAGAGTTCGCCATTGTTAAATCGTTCGCCTCGTACAAACAACCTCTCTTATAAATCTTGTCAAATATTTAATCCAACGTCCTCATGAAATATATTCATGCCAGATGGTGTTTGCCTTCGTCTGTAACCTCTCTGTTCATACAAATAGCTAAAACTGCGCGTGTTTCAATCATGAATCGTACTTATTCAATGTATTAATGTATTATTAATGACGTTGTCAAATACCAAAATATGACGAAAACTAAATTCACGCTAATACCAAATAATGATAAAGAATATATTTTCCAATTTATATAATGTACTCATAATTCTGCAAAAAAAATGTCTGTTTGCATTTTTTACTTCACTATTAATGACAATCTTGGAGACAATAATGTGTGAAACTTTTATCAAGAATATAATAAGTTAGACATACCGATCTAAGGCTGCTTCCTGTTGACAATGAGCGGCATAGGCTACTGTTAAACCCTTGTGACATCTTTCAGTCTGCATAGCGGATACATAAAAGACAAAATCGGCACCGTCGATTCCCGGACCAGCTCTACTCCCTTCGGCTATTCCGCAATTGTGTCCCGTCGCGTTGCACGTTCTGCAAACCTATACAAACGAACACATTGAAGAAAGAAAATATAAAAGAACAGTGATTAGTGAAAGCACCGTTGTGCTATTTTAACGAAATCAAGCAATGTTCGATTCGGAACAGTTAGAGATGAAACAAAATTCTTGCATCTTTTCGTCAAGAAACGTCACATCAAGAATTTCATATCGCCGTAAAATGAAGTTACAGACTCTGTTCATCCGAGTGTCAGAGAAAATATTGTAAAGAAGATTGCATTCTATAAGGGACGAAGTATCCGGAAACATTAACGCTGACGAACCGGAGCGGAATCGCATTACCGTCAAGACACCTTCGGCGAGGAGGTAAATAATTTTACGCCGTCAGCGAGTACCGTCAACAACAAGGGTGACGACGCCCTCGCCCTAATAAGTTATCCGACACCAATTCGCCTGCTCTCAGGGCCACTCATCAATTAGCGCCTCTCGTTTCCAGGCTGTCGTTAAAGCACATCCCCTCAGTACGAGTCTCGATAATCGATCAAGATACAAAGCGTCAATGAAATATCGTATATCTTATTTCGAATAGACGTGATCTACTTAAGAATATAGAGATCGTGTCGTCTGTCGCGACTCTAATTTGTCATTTCTCATAAAAAAGAAGCAACCTTCCTCTCAACCAAATTTTACTTCATGTATTATGAGCAATAAGCTTACACTAGTTAACACTTGTGGATAATTATACGCGAATAGATTCATCATAATATTAAAATTATAATTGTTAACATAAACCATTTTATACGTCGTTGCAGTATCGTCATAAAATTGTGATAATTATTAAGTTAGTAAATCGAATTGAATTATTATTGCTTGTCTATCATTAAAATCGACATGTGTTTTATATAACCACTAATGCACTAATATAACATATAAATTCCTGTTTCTTATACTAAATAATTGTAAAAGAAGTCACAATAATTAATATTAAAATTAATTATATAAATTTTAAACAACATCAAATTTGGTTGACCATATCTGGCAATTTTAATGGTTTAGTATCGCGACGTTTCGATCATGGGATTTGGTCCTTTTCAAGCGGTCGTAGTGGTAGTCGTGTACATAGAATCATATGTATTATGGTGGTGTTGAGAGGATAGTCATTATAATCCAAAAATGTTATGCCAGTATTGGCTGTACGTGAACTTAGCTTGAGCACTGACAGAGCATGACAGGAAGAGGAGTGCAAATGAGGGGAGAGGAGGGGAAGGAAGTTGTGGAGGGACGAGAAGAGGGGAAGGAGAGTGGACAGGAAATGAAAGACATTGTGGAGAGGAAAGAGAGAGGAGAGCGGGGAGAGAGAGGAAGGGAGAGGAGAGAACGAGAGAGAGAGCGCATAGGAGGGATGCGGAGGGAAGGCGGAACAGGAAGGAGAGCTGGAGAGACGCAAGGAGAGAAAAGGTGAGAGAGGAAGAGGAAGACAGGAGCCGAGAGAGGACAAAGAGAAACGTGGAAGACAGGAGTGAAGCAGAAGAAGAAAAAGAGGAGAGAGGGAATGGAAGAGATTAGGGAGGGAAAAGGGCGAGGCAAGGGGAGGGAGGGGTGATAGAATGCCTCGTGGCTCTGAGGGGAACAATAAACTAACTACTACTATTTAAAATTAATTTATAAAATAAAATTTTGCTAAAATATGTTGTAAATATAATGGTGATTTTAACGATTTTAACGATTTAAATCGTAGACGGGCAAACCAGTTGTGAATTCCATGTGATTCCCAAATGCCCAAAATACCACTGCCAATGCTCGATCTACTCCTTTGACTGGCTTCGATATTTATTGCACGGTTTAACTCGGCTTAGAGAACTTATCGGGTAATTACTTACGTCAAGATGGTCCTCCGGGACGCGTACTTCACCGCACATAGTAACAGGACGGCAAGTATCTATACAGTGTGTGTGGTGGTCCTTGACGAAAACTTGACTACTCTCGCATTTCCTGCAAGCACACCGAAATGTCAGAAATTATTCACGGAAATAAAGCTCGTCAAAATTAGATTGTGAAATATCACGTTTCCGCAAGCGCGCCAAAATACCGGAAATTGCTCGTGAAAATAAAGTTGGCCGAAATTAAATTATAAAATATCGCGATGTTAGACTCAACACACGTGCCGAAATTGTTCAGCGTTATTTAATATAAATTCTTGATGTAAATTAGCTCGACTTCCTACGGGATATTTATCTCGCAAACCCGTAAATATAGAAACTTCGATATATATTTTCACAAGAATTGTGCGTGTTTAATTCCAATGTACGTTTAGCAAAAATGTTTCATATTCACATAGAATTTTCCATGAATACAACTCGTTCTGAAGGTGGAAATAACTATCAAGACTTACAAGTGAGAGAAATAAAATTTTATTTTTCCTCTCTATTGGACACACTCAAGAACTTGCACGGAAATTATTAGCTGTCATTTAAGCGAGAGCACTTGAGGAAGTCGGATAAAATTACAGATATTAACGAAAGAAAATCACGAGAGAACGGAGTCGTTTTTAATGCGAAGGAACATAAAATATTTAGCAAGATGCACGTTGTAAACGCAAAACAGATTAACTTAAATTAACGACAATGTGCTGACACAATTACAGATATTTCTATAAATCGGATATTAATGTACGTTATATTATCTTCTCTCGTCCGTATTATTTCTCAAATATATATTTTCAAATATGTAATTTAATTAAATAATGCGCCGGTGTGTGAAAACGTTTTCATATATGCACGTGCCAATAAGTATTTAAATGAGAGAGCTTCAGATTAATATTCTATTAAAGTCTACTTGAAATTAGCTCTTGTGTAAACGTGCTATGTAAATTAATACAGCATGATAATATTGACGTGGTATTACAATGAAGCTGACTATAGACTTCACACTCTTCCCTTTTTCCAAAGTACTATATACCCTCGCGTACATTTTTGAGTGGTATTATCTGACGAGAGTCAAAGCACGACAGCAACGCTGCTTCGGGACATCCCGATGGAACTGAAATGGCTATCGCAGGACAACGATGTTCCATCGACGCCGGACGATATCGACCTACTAGTATATACTTTTATAAGGTAAAAGTGGATACGACTATATCAGATACGATGGTGCTACCGGCAAGCAAGGATAAAGAGGGCTCCAGAGAGAGGTGAGCACTAAAGAGAAGGTGCACTTCGCTAAATAAACGTTGTGACACAAGCATGTTCGACGTCTCCGGTAAGAAGACGTTCTCGCTGATGTTGTATCGAAATTGAAAAGTGGAACGAGATGCACTACCCAATAATGTATTTCTCACGTAAAAATGGAAATTAGTTGATACATCGCGGCAGAATAAAATATGTGATTATCTTGTTGAATGTGTCATTTAAAAATGACTCATACAAATAATCTTTATGGAGACGCATGCCTTTTGTTCGTTTAATTAATATTTTTGTTGAAACAGATGCATTAATTACATTCTGACAACGTTACACATAAAATATCAAAGTCACGAAAATATCATGAATATTAAATTTACTATAAATGATTATAATATACACAATATATGTTTCAAGCTATAATAAGAGCCGGGGAGGGGAGGAATTAACCAGATCTGATATCATGAACGGACTAGTTAATTTTCACCGAACAATATGCGGATAACGTCAGCGTCCAATATTATGCGACATTGATCACTGCAAATTGGATGAAAGACCGAGGGAATTAATTAATGTCGCATTAATAGCGAGAAAAATATAGCGTTATGTAACGTAAACCATGTAACTTGTTGACGTACAAGTTTCGCACTCTTTCGCGAGGAGAGAGATTAACTTTTCGTTAATTTTACTGACCGTTAATCACACTAATCGCTAACCGCATTACATTACATGTAAATCCAAAAAACTCGCGAATTATCTACTAAATCTGGGTTCTACAGCTTCGAAGGGTGCATATGTAAGTCGCTAATCGGATGTTCCGGCCGAGTTGAATTGCGTAAAATAAAACAATTTTCTAATTTTACCGAGGAATTCCGGGCTCGGATTACCAGATAGGGACATCTGGTTGTTCGAGAACCTTTTAGAGAAAGGCTCTGGCATATACCATCCGCCATAGTGAAAATATTTCTTGTGTTCTAAGATCATGGTGTATAACTCTTTCAATTTCTTGGAATTTACGATTTCGATCTCGTGTAACGCTGAGCTTCGAAATCGACCACGTAGTCCATAAGAAGAAATGCTGTCCGTAAATAGTACAGCAGTTTCCAAGCAATTTACTGTTCCGTTAAGAGTATCCTCCGACTTCTTCTTCTTCTTGTGCCTTCCTCGTTTAGAGGAAGGTACAAGATCTTCGCAGAGAAAACGAAGGTGCGACTTAAACCGTTTCTCTATTGCCGACGCGAGATACATTCATGTCAAGATAGAATCTCGCAATTTCGGGGACTTGGCAAAGTCGGCTCGATATCGCTGCCGGTTTTTCGTGAAAATTATGCGCACTTTCCTTTCCCGAGGGAAGTGAAATACTTCAAAATGTCCGCTTGTGATAGAAAGCATGAAATGATAAATATAAGATATTAAACTTATTTTTATCGTCATCATTTTTTAATTTTCAAAATATAGTTCAATGTCTTTTCAATTATATTTACTTATTAAGTAATCGAAAATTAAAAAATTAAGTCTTAGCAAAACAAAGTAATATTTATCACTTAATTTTTAGAGTAAAATTTAATCAAATTTTAATCTGAAACCTAATTATTACGAATTCAAAAAGATAATTAAAATCTCAAATCGACATTGATTCTATTCTTTCGAGAAAATTTCATTGTACAATAATAGATGAGAGGAATTATTCATTCTTTCATAATGAAAATTTATTAATTTACACGTGAGATGCGGGGGGCACAAATATAAAATTTTCGTATAATCATATCAAGTCTAATATTCAGTTATTATTTTATTTAAAACGCATTTATTATGTTCTCTCTTTCACGTTCGAGACGATAGCAATTTATTTCATAATAATTGCCTCATATTTGCCTAACGTGCAAATTTAATCCAACGTGGAAGCGCGGGTTTACAGAGTTAGCGCTTAATCCCTTTAGGATGACGATTGATCCCACCAAAATGACGTTCGATCCCATCTAAATACACACATATGTGCAAACGATGAGTAAGCGAAAACCTTCTCTGCTACGGTAATCAGCAATACATTATATTGACAGATAGAAATATATATAATACGAATCATATTGTAATTAGAAAATTATGATTTTCTTATTATTACTTTACATATACTAATAATTCCTAATATCAAAGTTTAACAAAATGTAACAAAACTTTAACGCCGAAGGAATGGCAACATTCTCTTTAGATCCGAGACTTTCTGCATTTTATCACATTGAAAGTTTCCCAACTTCAACTCGCAAATTAAAATGATGTTTATAGATAAAGATTATATTAAATTGCTAAAATGTTTGATGGTATACGCGAACACGATCTTATACTAAAAGCATAAAGTCGTCGTCGGACTATTCGTAGCTTCTTTGATATCCGAATTTTCGAAATTCGGGAATACTTTCCGGCACGATGGCGTGGACGAAGACGCTGATGGTGACTTCTAAAGAACTTTATCGTTCAGGTAACTTAAAGGAGTCCCGAGCACTTTGAAAGCACCACTCCGCTGCACTTACTCGGGACACGTAATGCCGTGAGTACGGATTTGTTGCAGTGACATGCTTTCTGCATTACCAAGAGCTCGTTGGGTACCGACACCAACCCAACATCCTTCGGTTCCTCTGAAGACGTATAACAGCTGGTGGAAACCACACGATTCACAGTTATCATGTGGTCGAACGAAAAAAATCAGATAAAGATTAACATGAAGTCTACATCTGTAAAAACGTACGTGTCGTATCCAAATATATCTATGTTGAAGAGTTAAAATTTCTCTTCTGTCCTTAAAAAAAATCTTTAACCGTCTATAGATTGTACGCAGAGAGGAGATTTCAAAATAATTAAAGATACTCGTTCCGAATATAATATAAAAGTTTCAAAACTTAATTTTAATTTTTAGTAAATAACATAAGTTTCATTGACATTATTATAACGCGCAACCGCAAGCTCCCGCGGCATTCAAGTGATAATGTTCTTCACTTAGCGCTCAGCCCTTTGTAGCGAACATAGCAAGAGATAAAAGCAGAAGGCGTTTATATGCGCCTTATGCAGTTTATATGCGCGCGTTATATGTAAAACTGTATATATGCATATATATGTAACTGAGAATGCTCATTTTCCTTTGAAAACGGAAATCCGTTATATTCGTCTTCTTCCTGCATCCTTTCAGCCACAATAGTACCTTATATTCTCCTTCGTTGCCGCAGCAAGAAGTGTTAATACAATTCTAAAGCTACTTTAGTATACGTGTAACCGCGTCATCTCTCCTCCGTTAAAATTTAATTCAATTCGTATTTTATTCGCTGAATTTTTCACATCAGCTCACAGTTGTGGCTTTCACATCAACATGTCTGTGTTAATGAATCTGTCTGTTAAAATGCTGGATATGCATAATTCATGTGTACTCTGTACCGCAATTTTAACTAAATAAGTGTTCAATAGACGAGATTGAAACTAGAAATTTTATCGAACTCATAATAATGTAATAATATATTGGAGAGTCATCATATATTAATCATGTAAAAGTATAACTGTTCGAACACTGCTGCTCTGTACTCATAAATTTTGCACAGACATACGGTAAAGTAAAACGAAGTAGTTAAGTATGGAGAGTACTTAAGAGAGAAACTTCTCCAAAAACGGCGGATAGTCATCGCGCTGAGTGGTACACCTGGCCCGTCTGACATATAAAGCGGCGTACTACTTGCGTAAAGATCCTTCATCGACGATGAAGTAGATACGGGCGAGCTCGCGGTACGTCCGACCGAAGTCAACAGCAAAGCAAACTACTGCGGCCTACGG